CTCTTCTTCCAGTGATCACAGGAACCCAGGAATCCAGAAGACACTGTGGAAGGAAAATCGTAGAAATCATCCATACTCTGAGTGGTCCAATGTTTTTCCTTTACATTGTATAAGGATTGAAACTTCCCTCACAACCTGACATTTTTTTCAGAAAATTCTTATGGGTGGTAGGTACTACAATTAACAACATATTTTAACGAGAAAGCACATCAATTATCTTCATTTTGTTACTCTTGTAAAAACTTCGTCTTCCCCATATTTCTGAAAGAAAAAACTGTTTTATTTAATAATATGCTAACAGATATTTCCAGTACATACTTGATAACATTGTTAATACAAAATTTACTTGACAGTTGAAACAAAGGCAGGACTTTTTTTATAATGGATGTTCAATATGACGGCCACCATCTTCAATACAAAGGTCAATTGGACGTGAAACACTGAAATGCACCTGTTGGTTTTTTATAAACTTAAAACTCTTTTCACAGACAAACGGTACATTTTGTGTCCAATCAACTTATTTTGACCTCTATTACAAAAGTGGTAGCTCTGTGTTCCAGCAATTTTGGGACACCCTGTAATTGTGCGGAAAACTTGGACTCGCCCCGTGGGCACACACCTCAGCCCACCCCTGGCAACACTAGTGTAGGTCCGAAAAATACCTCACTATGAGCCTTTAACAAACTTCTTGAATCTTATTCGAGATCATAATATTACTGTCTCCTCGACTATCTCGGTTCGAGAATTAGTGAAGAATCAATATTAATTTTTATTATTTTTTATTCTCCATCTCGGAGTCAATCTACTACTCCGCTGCCTTGTGAAACAATGAAATATTTCAACAAAAACATAATATCCTTTATTTTTTCGATCAGTTCATAAGAAACTGTTTTGAAATGATTCTATAATAATAAATTTCATAAGAAAGTAAATTGATATCTTGTTTTTCCATTTCGATATTTGTCTATGATTTTTTTTCTCAATAATTTCCACAAATATGTGAGTAGTTTATTACCTACTTTATATTATAGGTGTGCCACTTGGGAAATACTTTTTCCCAAGGAAAATCAACTAGTTCTGGCGATTCCGTTTGATTATTATCGAAACCTACCTTATTGGGCGAAATAAATACATTATGATGCAAATGTATGGAATAAATTCATTATTTCAGAAATGGGCGACATTTGAAAAAATTCCAAAAACACGTGAGTTTTAATTTCTGAAGCCTCATCTCATGATATTCATATGAGAGATGTTACGTCACCGGTGTTGGAGTAAAGACGTAATGGACGATTTTTTCAAATACAAATAGGGGTCATGTGACACCTTGATTGAAAGGTCTACCGATCGTCTATTCAACAGTCAAAATGTTACATAAGAAGATTGAAATTAAAATGGATTATCATGTGATTAATTGAATCTTGCAGAGGTCTGCTACTGAGAATTGAACATCGAAAGGTCGTCTAGTTAAAAAAATAGGTCGAAAAAAAAGTTCTAAACTCTAGTTTTTGGTTTTTTTTCGAAAGTCGTCTTGTTTTGAAATGAATTCATTCCATACATTTGCATCATACTGTATATACACAATACAAATAGGGTCATCTCGAGTGTCATCATTAAAACAATGAAACAAGGATGAAACGAATTTTTAATATGAGATAACCTTTAATGCTTAGTAACTCACCCATTATCGAGATGTTACTGAGTTTCACTTCTTATACAAATTTCACGATTTATTTATCCAGGATATATTATGTAAATCGCATTTCTCGAAGTCTCATTTCATACAATTCAAATATGTACTTTTTGTTCCGTCTTATTTGTGTTACACTGTCCAATGAATTGTTCGTAATCCATAAAAAATAATTGGGTAACCCAAAACTTCGCTCTTCGAGTCTGAAGGACATCACGTTCACCATCATAACAACAATCAGCAATAATCTCAATCCAGCACTGTCACGATCTTCCACCTTCTGTCTGTTGTGAACGGAAAAGGTAGTACTATCCCAAACTCATCCCAAACAATACAATTACTTCTTGTCAAACCAGTTAGACAATCATTATTGATTGATGATGAATGTTTATGTTTTTTGTTGAAGCGTCAGGCAAGAATATTTACGAATTGTAGTTATAGCTCAGTTCGAGGCTCAGTTCAAAGTTGTTTGGTTCTGAGTCATCAAATCTCTCGAGAGAAAAAACACATTATATTCATACAGATCAACTACCCACCTACTATATTGAAGTGATTCATACGAGACCAACGAGACGAGACTTTCATGAAGTTTCGTCTCGTCTTGCCGATGAAATATGAAGTCTTGTCTCGGGTCTCGTCTCGCAGCCTCTAGTCTCGTCTTTTCTCGCGTCTCGTACGAGAGTCTCGCAAATATATCGCAATATCGTCATGCATAATCTTGTTACAGTCGACTACGTGATATTTACCTTTACCTACTTTTTAGGTATGATGTAGAAGTACGAAGAGAAAATTACAACAAAAATAACATTATTCATTGAGAAGTAAGTACCTATAATAGATCTCGTAATACATACATACTCAAATCATACATCTGAACAAAAAAAAAAACATATAGCATTATATATTCGAAAGTTATAAAAATAAAATAAAATGTTCTGTCTATATGTGCTAAATAGTCTGAACTATTTTTGAATATGTTGTATTATGAATGAAATTCTCAAGTCTGCAGTCGTCACGCAGAAATATTTACCTGCGAGACTCTCGCACGAGACACGAGAAGTCTCGCACGGGACTCGAGACGAGACAAATAAAAGTCTGGTCTCGTCTCGTCTCGTCTCGTCATGTCCGAGTCTCGTCTCGAGTCTTGTCTCGAAAACGGGACGAGACCATGCGAGACTCCCGAACACGAGACTCTCGCGGGCACCACTAACATATTATGATTTTCCGAATATTTCTCGGAATATTCATAAAAAGTCTCCCAATGCTATGAGCATACAAAAATATACATATCCACAGTGTGAACCACGCTCGAACTCCACAACGGATTAAATGAATTCTTTCGTTAGTTAAATGATCGAAGAAAACTTTTTGCTACCACATCGTACCACATATTCGAATGAAATCATTTTTTCTGTGACGGGAAAAAAGTCTGGCATTTCATCTCTGTTGGCAGGTTATAAAATGTCACTTTTACTTCACTTCATGAATTACTTTTTTCCCGTGGGAAAAAAGTTAGTACTTTTTTCCCGGATATATATCACATATATATATACACTGTTGATGGCTTTTGTTGTGCTATAGTTCAAAAAAAAGTGTCAATAAACCGTCTCCGAGAAAGAACTGCAAGTCCTTTTATCTTCCATTCGACTTCGCGGTTACGTATATTACTAAACAACCACTAAATTCGCAATTTTTTGAAATCAAATCACAGAATTAGACAAACAGAAGTGACATCAGATATTTGATTACTTCAAATCAACCGTTGATGTAGTTTTTCTACTTTTTTTGAGTTGTTATTCATATTATCGTGTTCCTCATCATAAATATAAATTTTTCTCGGAATTTTCCATTGCCAATTTCAGTTCTTAGGATGTTTTGAGGATATTTTTGTAGTTTAGGACTATGAAAGTAAATTTAAGAAGGCAAGGTGAAATTTGGTTAGGAATGGCCTCGAATATGGTAAATAATATAATATACACAAAAGAATCAGATGAAACTAATAACTATATGCAGTTGAGATAGGGAATGGAACGTGGAAATGTCCATACTGTACTCATATAATTTCGAGTTAAAATAGAATAAATCCCACAAACTTTGTTTTTTCCAACGAGTTCATGATTATAATTTTCAATTCGGTATAAATCGCAGTATAAATACAAATTGATTTTCTCATACCTAGAGCATATTTCTGCGACATTTGATCGGAATATTTTTCAGCACACTTGGAGGAAATACTTTTCTCCCTTTTTCTTAGTCTACTGATAATAATAATAATTTGTATCTCAGAAATCGCATGATCAAACTACATGATGGAAAATTTCAATTTTTATTTCATTAGTCCCCAAGACGACACTCTTCTTGTGATTTTCCCGAGATTTTTCCATAAAATCTTCCGCGGATTTTCGGTATTTGGAAATTTAAAATTTCAATTAATTTTACAGGAATCAACTCATTATGAAAAATACACAATAGAACGTTTCTTCTCGAACTCCTTCTTGGGTGGTTTAGTTCTCACAAATGTCAACATATCTTTTGAAAAACACGACATATATCGTTTGTTTTTGATACTTGAATATTGGGAAAGTTAAAAAATGCCTTGATATATGCAACAGGTGAGAAATCGGGCAGGATGCATTTCAGGACATGATGTTGACAGACACTTTTCTGCTCAGAATGAAAAAGAAATTTCATATGATACCAACTTCAATATCGTTGTTTTTTGTTTCTCTTGAAGCGTACGAAAGGAAATTCCTATGACGTTCGAAAATCCAGTTATAGTAGGCATATGAATCTGAAAATTCATCAATATTGATACATTGCTGAATTAATTCCGAGAAAATTATATATCTCATGAGGTTTTACCATAGATTTTTCAAAGTAGACGGAAAATAGTTTCTCATGGGTAATTAGGTACCTATTTCATCAGTACCTATAAGTACTTATTCATTATTTTTCCTGATTTCAAGAATAATTACCTAGGAATGCAAAGGTATCCTGAAAACTGGAATAAACAAGGACATACTGATATTGATATAATTAAGTAGATAAAATAATACAGATAGAGAAGAAAGTGATTAGTTATAATATAAATACCAACCTCGATACAAAAACATACTTTACATAGGAAGGTGATGCCTACCTAGATAACACATCATTTGAACGGGTTATTTTCTCTTTTACGATATTGCTTTTATACTTCGTAAGGAGTACATACGTATAGGTATCTAATGTCTTAATCAAGTAGGGATACACTCCCCATTTTCAGATGAAAATTTTATATATAACATATCTACTAAATATAGGTACTCACAAAGAAATCCTGAATTCATGTTTACTAGTGCTTTCTTTGTCGATAGGCATTGTTGATGAAATAAACTCTCAACCAAAAAAGCAAAAAAATCCACACAAATGAAACCTGTCCAAAAATTTGCCGCACCGAAACCGAACCGATTCGAAAAAAGTAAATAAACAAATATATATACGAATGAGGTTTGCCAACCTACTACGACCGGTAAAATATACAAACTGGAGTTTCCGCGAATCTTGACCGGCATTTTGTAGTGACAGTCACGTGCTACTCGGTGCGAATGCGTCGAGGTTCCGAACAATGTTGCCAGTCGATCCAATGTCAGTTAATTTTCACTCCTTACTAGTCATTATTGGCTCCTCAGATCATAAGATTGGCTCAGAGCGGTATACTTACACCACAAACAGAACAAGTCCGCGTTTGCACCAGGCGCGTAGGAACTTACACAACTCTCCACCTTGGGAGATAGTCTGGGGTTGCTTTTGGCAATATTCATCAGTGCCGGTTTATTCCTAATCTTTCAGGTCTTTGGATTTTTTCCCATGACACATTATTGAAGGGATAATAAATCATACAGGCACGTTGGACGTTTTCTTGGATGGGAGTGAAACGGCAAACTCGCGTCCCGGGTGCCGCGTACCATAAGACCGGCATAATCATATAAGCAGTGTCATATACCATAGAAGTTCTACGCACACAAGTTTTTTCATATAGAAATTCAATGAACATAATGAAAAATATGAAATAACAAACAGGATGTTGTGGAATGAAATTAAAAACATAATTCTTTAGTGTTCACATAATGAATAACAAGGAAAATGAATAGGTATATGTTAGAATAAAAAAGGAAAATCAAATAGGGAAGTACGTAACTAGGAACAGAATGTAACAATACAAGAATGCGTTTTCTTGCTTTAATGCAAGCGTTTATGTATGATAATCTTCACAAACTCTATACACTAGTTTCATTTAGTCGATCTTATTTGAGTTGAGACAAAATTGTTAGCTCAAAAATTTCGAAAACAAATATTTATATTGGGGGCAGAAGATATTATATTACATTAGTCTCGTGTAGAACTTGGACTAATTCCATGATAGGATTTTCTGCTTTGGTCTCTAGGAGAAAAAACTGTTTTTTTTTCAGATGAATGGTTCGTCAGAAACAAATTTGTCCAGATCCTTTACAAACTTTGTTTGTAGTTTAGTTGCCAATTTGATCAAATTTCCATCCTCTGTTGACCAGAAGATGAAATGATTTTGAACAAGATTTGTAGGTGGAAGTTCGACGGAAAATTTCAAAACTGCAACTAGAAATGAAACAGTTTCAGTTTTTATTTATAAATATATATACAGGGTGTTTCACAGGTAAAGGGAAATATTTCAATGGTAGATAGGGGTCACCAAGGGGGTTCTGAAAATACCATATTTGATAGGTCTTAGAGTCTTCATAACGAAGATACAGGGCGATTTATCGATTTCGAATAATTATTCATTCGTCTATACTTAAATATTGACCTACCCAGTATATTTTTCTGAAATTTGGTATGGATCTCAAACTTGGGATGTTGAATTCATCCACCTATCGGGCGGAGTGAAAATCCAGGTTCGGCTTCAGGAAAAATTTACATTTATTCGAAATATTAAAATAACACACTGTATGTAATAATTGACAGAGTTCATCAAAGGAATCGTGAAGAGGAGGAAAAATTGAACTGGATTTGATGCTTTTTGTTTTCCTGCCACCAATTCTTATCGTAACAATCGTAAACAGAAAGCTGAAAGTATGTCAATTTGAAGAGTATTGAAATTATGAAACCAGTGTCAATTATGATTATTCGATATATTTTAGTCTAAGAATCGCTCGAAAGAACTTACTAAGTCTCACAGTTTTTATAACGGAGATACAGGGTGAATTATCGGTTTTGAATAACTATTCACTCGTCCATAAGTATAAAACTACCCATCGGTAACATTTTCTCAAATTTGGTATTGAGCTTACTTGGGACGATTGATTTATTGACCTATCAGGCGGAATGAAAATAATACCAAATATTTATAATTCGATATTTCACCCTGTATCTCTGTTATGAAGACTTTATTACTGCGTTGAGTAGTTTAATACTTATGGACGAGTGAATAATTATTCGAAACCGATAATTCACCCTGTATCTCTGTTATGAAGACTGTGAGACTTAGTAAGTTCTTTTGAACGATCATTCAACAAGAATATATCAAATGATCATAATTGAAAGTGGTTTCATAATTTTAATACTCTTGAAATTAACATATACTTTTAGCTTCCTGTTTATGATTGTTACGATGAGAATAGGGTATACGCGTGTGAAAATTTTACACTGGAATATATTTTTGTTCCATTACTCATGTGTATAAATGTCGAATTATACATCCGAAAAACATTATTAAGCACCGAATATTTAATAATTTCTGATTGAAAATCATAATATTTGCAACTTTCCGACCAACAGCCGAACTGCAGCGATGATTTCCGACTGGATGTGGCTGTTTTTATTTGTCATGTCAAACATTCATGTCCGAAAGATTGAAAATAATATAAGAAGAGAAAGTGAGGTTATGATTATCTGAGCTTGTAGTATCTATCTCAATTATATGATCTCAATATTCTGAATAATAATAACTGAATACTAAGCAAATATCTACAATAAGAATGATCAAACAGGACTTCTTTTTGCATGTTGTTTCAAATATATATTACCACCTATCAATTTATATCTCAAATAGTTTTCCATATCTTCTTCAAGCTGAAAACGAAATCACATATTATATTATTCTCCTAATAACATGAGGAACATAATCATTGATATATAATGGGTTTCACTAGGACATACTTGAACGTATACTCACTTCGAAATGGTCTTCACAAACAAATCCTCTGGTTTTCTCGGATAAATCATTTCTATTTATGGCTTGCAACCATAATTTTCTTTTCTCTTTATTTTTATCACTCGATCCCACTGGCAATGAAAGGAATATTTTTCCTGGTGATACTTTTGTTGATGAAAGACTTTGCGGCACTAAACAGTATTTGGTATAAACATCATTTTCCATTTTCAAATTTCAAATTTCTGGCGTTTAAAACTGTTTTCTTCTCCTACCTCTTCTTCTTCTTTTTTTTTTCAATCTGAATCTTGTCATTCTGTCGCGCTAGTCTATGGCTGTGCGGCCTAATACTATGACGTCATAATATTAGTGATGGCCACTAACCCGTTTTCCTGTGACTTCATATTTAGCCTCATTTAAATGAAATTATTTAGAGTCACAAGCAAATTTGAGATTAATGAATGATATCCAATGTTATTATAAGAAAGAATGAATATAATTTCGATTAAACAAAAAATCATGCGTATTCCTTATTGGTGGCGGGAAAACAAAAAGCATCAAATCCAGTTCAGTTTTTCCTCCTCTTCACGATTCCTTTGATGAACTCTGTCAATTATTACATACAGTGTGTTATTTTGATATATCGAATAAATGTAAATTTTTCCTGAAGCCGAACCTGGATTTTCACTTCGCCCGGTAGGTGAATGAATTCAACGTCCCAAGTATAAGCTCCATACCAAATTTTAGAAAAATATACTGGGTAGTTCAATACTTATAGACGAATGAATAATTATTCGAAATCGATAAATCGCCCTGTATCTTCGTTATGAAGACTCTAAGACCTATCAAAAATGGTATTTTCAGAACCACCTTGGTGACCCCTATGTACCATTGAAATATTTCCCTTTATCTGTGAAACACCCTGTATATGTATATATCTAAACCTATATACCTATACAGCACACAAGCAGACCACCATTAGACCCATACCACCTCTGGGATAAACAAACTGTAATTGCATATCATTCGTATAGGGAAGTATCACTTTTTTGGTTTATAAATAGTTGAAATTGTTTTTCATCAAAAATTCTTTGAACTTAAATCTGAATCTGCTCAGAGAAATGTTTTTTAGGCTATTATCCAAATGATTATTGATTTTTACTATAGAATAAGAGAAACATCTTAGAAAAATAGTTATTTATTATACAAGGGAAAAAAGTAGTAGATTTTAGCTCCAGGTTGTGTTGTCTCCCGACGCGTAGCGGAGGGAGACAAAAAACCGTGAGCTAAAATCTAATATTTTTCCCGTGTATAATACACTATTTTTTTTTGTGGCAGGATAAAGGACGATTCAATATTGAGAAGATATTACAATATTTTGAAATGTGAAAATTATCGACGTGAACTTTAACAGTAGGGACACCTGCGTTGTAGGCATCTATATCATTCTTTTGAACTTGAAGTAATCAGATATCTGATGTCACTTCTGTCAGTTTGATTCTGTGATTTGATTTCAAAAATTGCGAATTTAGTGGTTGTTTAGTAATATACGTAACCGCGAAGTCGAATGGAAGATAAAAGGACAGGCAGTTCTTTCTCGGAGTCAGGATTATTGACTGATTTTTCGGAACTATAGCACAACAAAAGCCATCAACAGTGTATATATATGTGATATATATCTGGGAAAAAAGTGCTCACTTTTTACCCACGAGAAAAAAGTAATTTATGAAAAGTGACATTTTATGACCTGCCAACAGAGATAAAATGCCAAACTTTTTTCCCGTCACAGAAAAAAAGCACTTGAGTATCTAGGCATGGAGAGTGATCCTCTATGTCGAATGTTCAAATTGTGGATGTCCGTAAGGTAAGTTATTTTATTATATAAGTAGGCAGGAGACTTGATGCATATCAACTGATAAAAACACATTGCATGGTAGATTCTTCTTTTTTTTTCATATTTAACCAACCAAATTCAGAGAGTTTGTGAGAAATATATATGTTCATATTTTCTAATTCCATAGATGAAACGCAAGCAGGCATTTTGTATTTTTCACTGTGATCAATACAAGTGTTATATAATACATCCGCATAATTGAATTGGGAAAGGACTAGGCTCTCACATAGAAGAGTTTTCGACGGTCGATTCAAAATGTGTCTATTACTATAAAGGATCTTGAGGTTGGTGTATGCTTTTTTCAACATATTAGTCACTTTCGATTTGAATCTCATTTTGCTATCTATTATGACTCCCAGATTATTTGCTTCCATAGAAGACTCCAAAGGATGTGTACTCACCATAACATTGAGTATATCTTTTACCATATCAGCCTTGTTTCCAGAGATAATTAATGATGATTCATTTGCGTTTAAAAGCAGTGAATGATTTTCGAC